CTGGTTCTGGCAACTTTCACTCCCTATGCTTTAACTCTCTCTCTCGCCTTAACCTTCCCCCAAGTATCCCAGGTACCCCAAGCATACACATACACACTGTACCATCCAAGTTAGGAACTTATCTGTGTGTAGGTGGGTTGTATGTGTGTGAACTGGTGAGTGTGTATATGTATGTATGTGTGTGTATGTATATATGTCATCGTGTGCATGATATACAAATTGGTGATCTCTGTATGTGTACTGAGTGTGCGGGTATGGACAATTGATTTTTGTCTAACTTTTGGGGTGTATAGTGTGTGTGCTTGAATTGGTGATAGGTATGCATGTGCCTAGGCTAGGTTGGATGTGTATGTGTCTGAGTTGGTAGTGTGTGTGTGTGTGTGTGTGTGTGTGTGTATGCACCTAATAGATTTGTGTGTTTGTATATGTGCAATTGTGTCACACCCTCCTGTCTAACAGCGCAATATTGAGATCCTGAGAGTTGGCCTGACCCCACAGGGCAGCACCACTTCTATTGTGACTCCCTTCTCTACCACCTCCTGTGTGATGGCCTCCATGGCAAGAAAGAACACCCCTTTGCCATGGTGCCTGGAGACTACCATGATCTTTGGGACCCCCACTGCCCAAGCCACTGGCCACATGTATGTTTCATAAAGGGTGTACTCTTTCTTGGGCACATAGCAGCCTGAGGGGGCTCCAGTTGCTGAAAGTGGTGTGGGTGGAGGGGATGGAGGGCCCAGGCTCTGAGGCTGCAGGTTCCCCTGCAGCCACCTGGGCATAGCTCTGGCCACTGGGCTGAGCAGCCAGGTTTGCAGAGCTGGGGGAAGGCTGAGTAGATGGTTATATAGCATATACAAAACCCTGAGAGAGAGGTAGCGGACCACAGTAGGGATAGACACAGGGATGCCGCTGGAGCAACTAGTAGTAAAGCAGAGGTGGTGTTTGCTGGTGCGGGAGGCCCAGTGGCAGTGTGGGGTCCCCTTGTTGCTGCAAGTGGAAGCAGAAGGCCTCCTCTCTCCTGAGAGGAGAGGGTGGTGCTGTAGGTCAAGGTGAAGATGATGGTAGGGAGAGCATGAGCCTGGGGTACCTCAGCAGAGCTTTTCTGCTGCTCCTGGGCCCAGCAGCTCCAGCAGCAGCCAGGGGGAAGTACTGATGCCCCTAGGTGGACAAAGGATACTGGGCAAGACAGACCTATGGTCTGACCTACTAAATGACAGTTCTTATGTTTTATGGTGTATTATCAGCTCTCGGGCTCATGTTCCTGGATTTGTGGTGCTGTAGTTTGTATTGCTCCTGGCACTGAAGTTCATTCCTGTAAATGCCCAGATGAGGCTGGCTTGACATGGAATATTCACTGAGAAAATGCCTGCTACTATGGTTGAATTCATAATGCTGTAGTTTAACTGTAATTTGCATATGCTCCTTTGACCAGCCAACTATACAAGGGAAGCCAGTTCTCTGTTTGGTAGACCAATGATTAACCATCTGCTGGCAGTCCAGAGTGGCCCATGAAAAATATTAGTGAATAAATGCCTGACAAGGTGATATAAAGTATCTTTCCAGGAATAGAGGGCAAAGGAGAAGTGTGCAGAAGGGCCAGAAAGTACAGTAAAGGGATTGTGGAAATGACTATGGAGGACTCCTTAGTTCAGCCCTGGTCCTCACAATTACATAGTGGCTAGGTAGAGGAATCCATAGTAGCAATTCCAGTGATAAATCCAGAACTGGAACGTGTGAGTTGTATTTGTTCTGACAAAAGTAGAAGGGCTTTAAATGTCCTATGTATGTGCTTGTGTGTGTCAAGTGCATAATCCCAAAACTCAGTGCGTCTGTGCTGCAAGGTAGTTACTTGTGATGAATCCATTTTTGAGAGCACTATATAGCATATCTAACCATCTACTCTGGACCCTTCATGCTGGAATAGACTCTTTGAGTGGGCCAAAATAGGTCTACCACTAAAAAGGCTAGGTGGAAATCTCTAGGGAACTTGGTCTGCATAGTTTTTGTTGTTTCTTATGAGAAGCTGAAAGTTTTTAGATGCATACAGAAAAATACTTTGTGAACTGTAAGAGCTTTTGGCAAATGTTTTTCCCCACTTCTCATGGAAACTTCCATTTTCAAAAGAGTATTTTTCTTTCAAGTCTTGGTTGATCTTTTTTTTTAATTAGCAGTACTTCTAATTCTACCACCTGCTAAGACCAATACAAAACTGGGAACTGGTCCCAGAATGAAAAGAATCAGAGACTGTAAAATCCCCAGGAAGGCTTTGGAGAGAAGCATCTCCAGATATACTTATTCATTTTCTGTCAGAGCAGTGGGGTTCAGTGGCAGAGTACGAGTCCCAGTGCTCTAACACGAGTTGAGAGATAAGCTTGTCATCCCCAGGAGATCACAGTACAGTAGAGAGAGGGAAATGAGAACAGGAAACAATCATAGTTGTGTGTGGAGAGAGATGTGTATAGTGAAACAGGAGGCATTTTATTTACTTATTTTTGAGAGAGAGATTTCTCTAAAACACACACAGAATTCCTTGGAATTAGTGCTGAAATATGCCTTTTTTGGCCTTCTGTTTTCTCTGCATTGTAAGACATTTTCTAGTCTTTCCCAGAAAAATCTGAGTGGCCCTTATAAATGGTTGGAAGTAATGCAATTGTGCAGAAATAAGAAAAGCTGCATATATTGATATACCATAGCTGGATGCTGTGGAAGATCAAGGAAATCGATATGAAGTGAGATCCCTGAGTAGTAAACAAGTCTGGGTAAGCATTTACTATGAAAATCTTGAAATTGGCCATTTGGTAACTTTAGGAGGAGTAGGGGAGGCTGGTGGTATGTCAAATCACAAAGATTTTTTTTTTATATAACATCCAACCAAACAAAGCACTTCACTAAGAGGTATTAAAATTCTACTTTATGATACCTTGTTAAAGTCTTGTAGAGACAGCATGGCCAATTTTGTGCATGTTATTTGAAGGGAAGCAATAAATGAACTGCATTTTCTATGTCCTTTTCTTGGGGAAATGGTTGCTGCAGTAGACATAACAGATTGAGATTGCAATGACAAGTCATTTAGGTGATTTAAAGAAAATCTACTGAAAGCTAAAGATTTTTGAAGTTTCTATATTTTATATAAAATGTAAACGTCAAACTACTTCCTGACTCTGCCTTTTCTCCGTAATTGTAAACAGGTTACATGGCTTCTATTTGGTAAGCCATTAGTTATTAACTACAGTACTAAATTTGCCCTTGCACCAAATGACCCCAAGGGAAAAAGCTGTCTGTCTGATTACAATAACAATAGGTCTCTAACAATTGGATTTACTTAGCTAGATGTTAATTGATCCACTTAAAACCTTCCACAAAAAAGAGTTTGTGAATGTTGCATAAGATTGCATGAAGCTAGAGGCAAAAATTAGAAGACATTTGGTGAATTAAGAGTTATGAACTGCCAAGCCCTATTGAAGAAGAACTCTTTTAAACGAAATGTCTGAGTGGATGCTGAGCATTAAAATGAATTGCGCAAAATTTAATTGTGAAGTCCTGTGAACTATCTGGTTACTGTGTAATCGTAATTTGCACCTGAGGTGGCCTTTTAATGAATTGAAATGTGGGTTATAAATAAAAGATCAGTTCTTATTGCTCATTGTATTCCATTTCCCTTGAGGAGAAAGGTCTGAAATTTTGCAGTGTAAAATCCATAGAATGGATAGTTAAAAGGTAGTTGCTGGCTTCTGTGCTGGTAACTTTTCACAGGAAAGGAAATGGCTGTTTTGTATTGTAATCAGAGGATCCCCAATCCTGATACAAGGTGATAACATTTTGTAAGTGGATAATCTTAAACATCTGTCTTCAAAAGGACAGCACCCAACCCAGAAAGTTAACCAAAGAAGTTTTGAGTCTTCTCTCCCCTCATTCTGGAGCTCCACTTACCTGCAGTCATCTTTGAGTAATCCTGTCAACAAATTGGACACAGGACAGAAGCATAGAGTACCCCTCTGATTGTACTTCTGTGAACTGGCAAATGGGGACATCAAACAAATGACATAATATCCATATGCTCAGGACTAAAAATAGAGAAACCTAGGTAGAAAGACGACTGATATCTTCTTCCCAAAGTGTGAAATCTCTGGATTTCCAAGTTCTACTGGTCCAGTGAATGTGAATCTAGGTATTGCTCCCAAAACCTTCTCTTGTGCACTGTTTTTATGCACTGCTGTTAAATAACCACATAAGAACTTGAGGACTCTCTAATCCAATTTGTGTGGCATTTTGCAGTGCAAGCAAAGGCCCCTGTAAAACTTCCAGTAAAATGTGTGTGGAAAAGGGGTGTTTCCTTATAGTCATATATTAATTGCATATATGAATTGCTACTGGGCATAGAGTTCAGGATGTACAGTAGAGTGGATACATACACATTAGGACTGGAATAGGAGACAGTTGTAAAGGTGGCAGGGGTTTAAGAGACTGTAGAAAAACTTGCTTATCTGTGACAGTTGTTATACTTGTAATAATTATAGGACAGCAGTGATTAAAAGCACAGGAAGCAGTGGTGCTTCAGAAGCAGCACATGTCATTGTCAGTCTGCAAGGTGTTTATAAATATGTCTTTTGTTTTGGGTCTATGCTTGGGTAAGCTTTTACAAATGGAAAATCGCACAACCGCTTTGTGTAAGGAACACAAGCACAGTGGATCTGACCCTTCAAAAGCCACTTGTCCTCTGCTGTTTCTGCCTTCACTGGGAATTAATGGTGCTCATTGGCTTGCAGTATTTTGGTCTAAATTACTATAGATTATCAATGCACTGTCAGTATATGCACACAATGGTCTGTTTTAAATCTTTAATATATTGTTAATTGCAATAATATTATTGTCAGTGTAACATGGACTTACAACTGTCAATTCAGTATCATACTCTGCTCTTCCCTCAGTACCAGAATACAGATAATTGGTATGTTCTAATAAAATTCTAGTTAAAGATTTAATCTTCTGCCTGGTATGAGATTTTACACAATTCCTAGCAGCTGCTTTTAAAAAGAAAAAGAAAGAAGCCATATAGTGTTATCCACTAGCTATTCTGTTCAAAATTAAAAAAAACAAAAACAAAATCAATGTACCAAGCATTGGCTAAAACCCCTAAAAAGAATTGCTCTTTGGCCATGCTATCTTATTAAGCACTATTTTCCCAGATTATTGGTCCATGACATTGTTTAACTTTTACAAACCCACAGTCTTTCACATCTGCTAGAACAGTGTTAGAAGTGAAACACTGCTTTGCTGAAGTCGGTGACTTCATTGACTTCAATGGAGCAAGGATTTCACTTTTTATTTTTGAGCCACAAAATACTTTGGATCTGATCTCTACTAGGATTTTACAGTAAGGCCACTCAGCACTATTTTGGCTGTGAAACAGTTTACCTTAAGGCCCCTCTATATGACTATAGTTATGTAAAATGGTCTTGCTGCATATGAGAAATGGGTCTATTTTTGTACCAAAGAATCTAGTTACATACCTTATCTTTGTGTTACTGAGAAGTTAGGTGTGCATGCATGTATGACTAAGTTCTTTTAATTGTATGTACTTGGAATGATTTTTTTAAAGAAATAGAATGATCTATATTACAGAAAGAGAACACTACACAGTTCTAACTTCATGCTGATCTAAATCTGCTCTCTAGATGCTAAGGGTATACTCATGCCCAGCTTTGGTTGCAATTCTGTTCTTCTTTTTTAAAAAAATCTGTATCTGTAGATCAGGTTCACTGCACCTTCTTGAAGACTTGCTTACATGTGGTTCCACATGCTCTTATTTCCTGAAAAGAAAATTAATCGTAAGTGCAGCATTTATACAATATGCAAACACATGCACATTGTCTCCAAAACACTTATTTGACATGCTTAACTTAAATATTTGATTGGAAATGATAGATTCAAATTAAGGCAGATATATGGAACACTATTTTACTGAATGTATGATGCAACAAGAACCAATATTGTGTATTTGGAAAGCAAGCTAACTATTACTACAGGACTTCAGACACCTAGACATAATGGGCTAAATGTGAGGCCTTGACTGGTGGTGTATTCTCACATTTATGCATGTAGTTATTTAAATCCATTGAAAATGGTAATTTATCTGCTTTGGATGCATAAGTAGCATATTTGCCCCCAATAACCAAGCAGCTGGACAATCAGCTCTACAAGCTGTATTTCATAACCAAGGTTATTTAAAACAAACAAAGAAGACAGAAAAAAATGCCACACAGCCATCCATAAATCTGCTCCAAATCGTGACTATACAGAAGAGGGAACCAAGGAGGATGCAATTCTGTGAACAGGACAGGGAATGGAGAACTGGCAGAGCAGCCTACAAGTGAGTTGATAAGTGATATTACAGAAAAAGTTTTTTATCTCTCTTTTTGGTGGGAGTGGATCTTCATTGTGTTGGGCAACTAGTGTTGCTTTCTTGATTGTCACTTCATGGTCCATCATTGAAGACAACTTAAAAAAAATCATTTGGTGATCTTGGGGTCAAAGTAAACCTCCAGAGGAAGATTAAGGGAAGAATTATAAAAGATCCACAGGTTTTGTAGATGACAGAGTGGAGAAGGCTTGGAGAGTGAGTTCTGGAGGGAACCTTTTGTAGAAATCCTTAGGTGAGCATGACAAAAGAGGAATATTGGTAGTGTGAAGGGAGCAAGCAATGAAGAGGAGGGTTGTTAACTGAGGCAGATGGTCTGGAGAGTTGGCATCTGATTTAAAGTTCAGTGGAGTTAGAGTTGCATTTTAACCTGTTTTACTTTATGGGTTTGAGAACTGTTTTACTTTGAAAGGGGTCTCATGAGTGTTCCACTTGCACTAATAAAATATGTCACTAGTAGGGTGTGAATTGAACTCTGAGAGGGGTGGTGTTTTTTTCCTGTGTGGGAAAAGTGACCATCAGTTGGATCCATGGTGGTGGATAAGCACCCTGGCTATAGCAGGGTGTATGGGTTGTAATAAGCAATGAGGCATGTATAAAATTATACTAAAGTTAAAGACAAGTAAATAGTGAAGAATTGGAGATGCCTGAAGGAAAAGGAAGGTAATTTTTATTTAATTATAAATAAAATGTATTAAATTTTTTATTTAATTATAAAGGGGAGAACACTCACATGGAGATACAGTGTCTTCAAGTACCCAGGGACAGCCCAGTAAATGAAAGAGTCAATGGGACCACTGAAAGGGGGATGAGGGTTATTTGTGTAGTACACTCTGATTTGGGATTGATTAGGAAAGTACCCTAGATAGAGTCTAGGGGAGTCTTGTCATTGACTTTTCCCTTCATATGCAGGGCCCTAATTGTGCATGGTACTCTGCAGGGGTGAACTTCTGCTCCTGAGTAGAACAACACTGAAATAAGTTGATACCTCTACATATTCAAAGGGGTAGGATTGCATAAAAGAGCTTGGAAAGTGTGGGCTAAGACCTAGAAACATGAGAATCTATTTCAGAATCATTAAGGAAGTAGCATCAAAGATTTTATATCGATAAAAAATGGAAACTGTAACTCTAGTACCAGTTGTTTATGATGCTGTCTGCAGTACTTCCCACATTAAGTCTAGAAAAGACAGCTATAAAAGTAAATACCAGATGAGATAAATGGCTGTTCTTCCATGACTACCACTGTATGAGTTAAACCTCAGAAATACAATTCCAGTCTCTGGCAATGTGCTCTGGAGAAGATCCTGTAAGCTATAACCCTATAAGATAGACTTCAGTAGTGAGGAAAAGTATCAGGAAAACCTCCTGTAGGACAGAACAGAGCCCCACTACAGTCTCCTCAGTACAGTTAAAACCTCTAGCTTGATTTCAAAAGGGGAGGTTTTTGAGAAAGTTGATAAAGCAATCTGAGGAACTGGGAGATAGTTGACAGGCCAGTACCACACAAAAGACTAATCTAGGTCAGTCAGCTTACTGGAGTGAGCTGCTGAGATTTTAAAATGTACTAGTAAAAGGAAGCAGTTCAGTATGAATGAAAGCACTTGAACTGCAAGTGCCAGTTTTGGGACTCATTTTTTCCCATATAGATATATATAACCAAGCAGTAAGGTTATGAAATCTGCTGCTGATTTATAAAAAGAAATAAATAAAAACATGATAGAAGCAGTCAATACAAAGTAAGAGTAATACAATTTGAGAGGAAGTGGAGAATGGCTAGGAAAGTATCTGTTTCAAGTCACTGTAGCAAAATAGAATCTGAAGAGAAGAAAAAAAAACCTAGACCAGGAAATGGAGAGGGAAATCAGTAGATGATAACTACTCAAGCCCATAGTATAACACTCAACACTGCAGAACTGTGCAAAGGATTAAATTAAACATTTGGACCACTGTATAATGGTCAATTGAATCCTAGAATTCAGGCGTGGGCACAGAATGGGCACATCTACACATGCACTTCAGTGTGCATTAGCTTATTTTAATTAGCACATTTTAATTAATTATTTTTATTAGCACATTAAAGCATCACAAAAAAGTGCTCTTTAGCTAATGCACATTAAAATAGGCAAATGTGCCTTTTTCAAGTACCTTACAATTTAGTACCTTACAATGGAGGTACTAAATTTAATGCGCATTACCTAAAGTACATTATTGAATGTGTAGACACACCCAGTACCCAATATTTGATGGTGAAGGCATCAAAGGACTTCCTAATATCTAGAGATCCAGTGATCTGAGTTGTGCAAAATCATTACAAAAAATTGAATTTTAAACTTTTTCTACTACATGGTCAATGGAGACTGGATCTCAGTGGGCATGTCTACATAAGACACTTAATTAGAATTAGACTAATTCTACTGCGTATTAGCGTGACTGGCAAAAACTGCTAATATGCTAATGCACAGTAGCTTGAGTCTAATACGCATTATGTCACTCAAAAAGCATTCATCTGTGCTAATGCATAGTAGCACTGATTTATGGCACATTAAATAAGTACTGTTATTACAGGTACTAAACTTAATGCACCATAATTACAGCTCATCGATGAACATGTAGATGCACCCAGTAAAGTCTCCAAATGGAGTAAATAGGATGCCTTCTTAAGTTAATGAAATGCACAAGATGATAAATATGGGAGGGTGGGTCATTAGAAGCCTTTAGGTATGATATAGTGGGTGAAGTGGCACATGCTACCATGCTGACCTGGAAGCAGCAATATACGTCACATGTTTATTTTGATTCTGTCCCTCCCCATCAATGGAGCTGGAGAGCTTTTTTTAGGGCTGTCAAACAATTAAAAAAATTGATTATGATTAGTTGTGATTTTAATCACACAGCTAAAAACTCGATTATGTGCAGAAAAACTCAAAATTATACAGGTACTTTGTATGATTGGGGGGGTAGGTGTGAGGTGTGTGTGGAGGGGGGATTTTGTGAAGGTATGGGGGCATGTGTGGGGTTTGGAGCCTGGGGAGGGGGGGCCCCCTCACACTGTGGTGGGGGGGACGGTGGAGCAGTAGTGAGGGGCAACAGCAGGGCTGGGGGGACTGTGGCTTGGGAGTGAGGGACAGGGCATGGGCATATCTTTGCCTCCCACCTCCACAATCATATTACCACCCCCCACACAGGTGTCCTCTTTTTTGAAACTAGAAAAATGGTAACCATACAAGAATGCTACCTGGCAGTGTGTAGAGCAGCACCCAGCAGGTAAGTCAGTGGAGGGGAAGGAGTTGGGGAGGGGGGCAGATCAAGGTCTCTATGGTGAGGGAGGGGCAGGGGCTGGGGTGAATGGGACCCCAGGGCCAGGGCAGGGAGCAGGATGGACCAGAGGTACGGGGAGGGGGGGTGGCTCCCTGCCACTGCATACACCACTGGGTGGGCATGGGGGGCACATGCACCCCAGATTTGTGAATGGGGTGGAGGAAGGCTGCCTGCTGCAGGCTGGGGCTCTGCATCCGGCTGCCTTTGCCATGGGAGCCACATGCTGGCTGTACTGTGTCATCTTGTTTGGCTGATGGGAGGGGGCACAACGTGGCATTGCATAGCTCTCAGGGCAAAGGCAGCAGGGTGCAGAGCCCCAGCCCACAGCAGGAAGCCCACCTCTGCCCCATGCAGAAATATGGGGGGCACATGCCCTCCATGCCTTCCCCAGGGGTGTGCGCAGCAGCAGGGAGCTGCTCTCTACTCCCTGCCCCTGGATGAGCCTTGAGCCTCCCATGGCTCCACCTCATGACCCAACCTGGCCCCGGGGGCTCATTCACCCCAGCTCCTTCCCCAGCTCCTGCCCCTTCCCCTCCTCCTCCACAAACTTACCTGCTGGATGCTACTTGACATGCCACCAGGCTACATTTCTGGCTGTGGGTGCTGTGGGGGAAGGGTGTGTGTGTCCTGCCTTCCTGTGGCAACAGCCCAGGGCCTGTGCCCTTAAGGCTCCTCTGTACTGCCACCACTGCCCTGCTGGGTAGGCTGGAGGCAGTGGTGACAGTGGTGGAGAGGAGCCTGGGCGTGGGCTCCAAAACTATATGCATGATTAATATGTTTAAAAAATTAACACTTTAATTGGTTCTTGCATTAATCACACACATTAATACTGATTAATTGTCAGCCTGACTTTTGATGTATACTGTAAAGAAAAAAGGCAGGAAGCTAAGGAGTCTGTGAGATTTAAGAACATAGTTAAATGCTTTGAACAGGATAGGATTGTCTACATACAGAAGATTAATCATACACTTCAGTTCTTTGCTAAATAGTTCTACATTGGCATTCTGGTTCAGTAAAGAACTGGGCTGATGATGGGGTCAGCTGATCCATGACTGTATAGATTGCACTGTAGGCAAATGGTATGTGGTCATTTGGGATGGTGTATCCAAGGGAGCCAAATGCTAGATATGTCAGTCCCATGTGTGTGGTTGGAAAACAACTGGCATGCCTTTCTGATTTTAACTTGTTGGGCTGTGAGATTTAGGATAGACCCATGGCCTTTACCTTTTTGACAATCAGATGGCTCTGGCTGTGATCATAAAGAGCTTCAAGGTTATTGTGCCACTGATAGATACTTACCATCCTAAATATTGAGTGCATTTACTAGTGAATGGGAAAAGAGGTTTGATTTGATTCCTTCAGTGGGAAAAGTACCTTTTATCAGGACTGACATGATACTGATGATAGTATGACTAGCTCTCTGGGAAAAATCTGTTATAAACTTACTTTAGGTGCTGTTAACTAGGAAAGATGAAAATAATGGCCAGAATGACATTTTAAAATCTAAATTGCTCTCTTTCACTTTCTAGGCTGTAATTCATGCTGGCCTATAATTATTTAAAAAGAATAATGGTATATTTTCCCCCTATGGGTTGTTGGATATAGAATTTCATCAGTCTCCAAGCAGTTTATTTCGCCAAGCATATGAAGGACATTCTTTTAAATGTCTTTGTCTGTGTAAACATTTCAAACCAATATATCAGAGCAGACAGCCAACACAAAGATTGTCTGAATTTAGAATTCTGTTCTTTATATATGGGGGCACAAAAGAACAATGGCACCATATGAAATTATTGCTTTAGAAGCAAGTCAAGTACAACACCAATACTTAATTATGCCACAGTATGCCAAGATAGCACACAGCTTGCTGCAGGTTATTACATTTTTCCATTTGAATAAATAATGAAAAATATGACGACATTCAGAACATGTTACATGATCTTACCAGGTGCAGTTCATTTCCTTCGATCCACTGGGTCCAACCCCGACCTTCTTTTTCTCCTTTCTGTACACAAAGAAGTTTATCTCCATCCCAGCTCACAGTGGTCTGGTAAAATAGATACATTTTCAACATTACAGTAGCATTGAACTTCATTTGTTACACTTATGTAAAGTCATTGCCTTTAAATTAGGGCTTTGATGCAGTAGAATAGATGTTCTCATCGTTATACCCCATAACTAAGAATAAGTCTTGTACAGTATTTTAGTGTCTTGAATGTGATCAAGACTGATTACTGACTGAACAGACTGCTGCCACTTTGATAGTCTTGGAAACAAAGTTTGGGTGTTTGAATATTTCTTACTTCTTCATAGTTGCAAGATTCCAAATGAAATAACAAGAGCTATTACTTTTAGAAATCTGTTTAATTTGAGTTTTACTGCAAATACTTTTTATATGATTTCTGCACAAAGACATTCAGTTTTAATAGGGAGGTGCATTATGCCCACATGCAAATGCTTCCAATTTTTGCCTCTCAGAGAGGTCTCACATCCATGAGTTCCTTCCACTAGTGTTTCAGGCTCATTTATATGTTTGTAAATAGGCCTGAAAACTTGATGTTCCCCTTCTTTCTTCCACTGCATGACCCCCTCAGTCCTAAGGAATAAGGAATTACTATGCAGCTCTAAAAAGTTAGAAGCCATATTCACTATGAACTGTCAAAGATGGAGAAAATGTTTACTTTTACTGGAATTAAGAAAAAAATATATGCATCTATCTCAGTTTTAAAGAAAAAAAAGTCAGCCTACATTTGTCAAGCTCAGGAGTTGAACGCAGAATTGGTTTTAAGTATTCCATATCCCTATTCTTTTTCTTTTTCTTCTTTTTTTAAAAATGTGTATGTTACAAACAATTAATTCTTAAATGATAACCATAATAGCCGCCATCTATAATCGGGTACAGCAGTCGGTCTCTACCCAGGGGAAACTTTAGACTAAATAGGCATGAAAAAAGAACTGCTAGAAAGAGGGCTAGGGTAGATAATCATAGGTAGTATACGTTGTCTGCGTGCACTGTACGGGGTCTCTGAAGACATACTAATCAAATGTCCTTGTTCAAAGTTTCTCTCTTTTTTTTTTTTATGGTGCATTTAAAACTTTTTATGCATCTAGCCTCTGAAATAAGCCATACTGAACCTACTAGCACATCACACTCCTTTTACTGTTTAATATATTTTTATCTGACTGAAATGTCTTTAATATTTTCATATGCAACATTTTTTCATGGAGTCTATATCTTGAAATGGATTTAATTCCATGCCTGCTTCAGTCATTCAACCCAGGAGTAGAAACAACAATTGATGACTTAATTCACAAATAACGGCTAGTCAAAGGGCTTTAAACTAGATGTGAGGGGGAAGGGGAAATGCTAACTGGAGCTTACCCGGGGACCAATATACAGGAAAGCTCCATCAACAATGAAACCAAGCAAGCCACTCTTATGGGAGCTGAGAAAACAGCTCCCCTTCAATGCAACAGGCAGCCAGTGACCTCAGTAGAAGGACTTAGGTGCCTGTACACCAATGCCAGAAGCATGGGGAACAAGCAGGAGGGAACTACTCCTCCTGCCTTCCACTGGGCATTACAATCTAGTAGAGATCACAGAGACCTGATGGGACTCCTCTCATGACTGGAGTATAGCCATAAAGGGCTACATCCTTTACAGAAGGCATTGGGTAGGGAAGAGAGGTGGGGG